ATATCGAACCGTGACACCAAAGTATCGAACCGAACCGAACCGTGAATTTTGTGTATCGTTGCACCCCTATTAAAAACCATAACACTGATACACCACAAATAACAAAAAAGGTCAGTCAATACACAGACAGTGATGGCTGGATCTTCTGTAAAAACACATTGCCCAACCCAGATTTTGTGTTTACACCTAAAGCAAAGTGATTTTCTTTGTGGTGAGAACAATAATGTGAATACAGGAAAATCCACTAAAAGTTAAAAATATTTAAATATATTTCATATATATTCAACAAGTTAGTAAAATTATTACATATACTTCAACTTTGGTGGCATTTTGCTATGAGGTTGGTTAAAAACCTAAAGTTTGAGATTCAGACTTTTTCCTTCTACCATTTAGAAAGACTGTTATCAACTTCTGAGGGCAGGTGGCAGCTGTTTTTTTTATGTGCATTAAAGTTATATAAAAATTTTACCGTGCAAATGCAAATTCCTTGCTGACAGTTTAACCAAAAGTGGAAACTGGCCGACATATCCTCAGCATAACCATGTATAGATTTCATTTTATTTATCGTTGCCCAACATTATACCGGTATTACCATGAATGGTATGATATGGCCCAGCCCTGTTATACCGACACAAAAATGTGGCAGGTTGAATAAGGAAAATGAATCAGAAGCCTTTTTGGTTAATTTCTGAAAAACCTTGGACTGAGCACCCTGGATTTATTCTTGTATCCGTGGAGATCCAGTAAATGTCCTAAGTGTTCAATAAAAGTTATTAAATGTATAGTTTTGTAATTGTAAATACAAAGAACATGAATTAAATAATCTGTGAGGATCTGGTCTTTTCTTGTGTGAAGCCACCTGCATGTATAAGACAAGAATTGAGATTAAACTTGTATCAAACCCACCTGACGACTCGTGTCCGGTGTACTCGTACATCTTGTCCCAGGATCCGTTCTCTTCTTTCCAAATAATGACTTTTCGGTCGTAGGAACAGGAAGCCAGGATGTTGCCGAACATTGGATGAGCCCACGCTACCTGCCACACGGGACCCTCGTGGCTACAAAACACAAGAGATGCAAATTAGTTCTGTTCTTCACTGAGTACCTGGATTTGTCACCTGGCAATTAAATTACAGCAGACAAAAGTGCCAACAAGTTATATTTCATCACCACAAGTGATACAAGTTCATTTTTTAGCTTTAGACTCTTGGTTTGCTCAACAAACTGAGGCTTCATAGTAGAGCAGGGCGATATGACCAAAAATATTTAT